GAGACGTCTTCGAGGCTCCCACCGGAACGGTTCCGGATCGGCCCATACGTCACGGGATCACTCTCGAGGCTGGCGCCGTCCCTCCGCGTGGATGTATCTACCGCATGAGCGAAGAGGAACTCGAGGTGCTTCGCGCACAACTCGATGATCTTCTCGACAAGGGCTGGATTCGCCCTAGTTGCTCGCCATACGGTGCACCTGTTCTCTTCGTCCGGAAGAAGAACAAAGATCTACGGTTATGCATCGACAATCGAAAACTTAACGCACAAACCGTAAAGAAGGCCGGCCCTCTCCCTCGGATTGATGATGTCCTTGAGCAGTTAGGCGGCACGACGTACTTCTCGAAGTTGGACTTGAAGTCAGGTTACCACCAGATTGAAATCCAGCCTCAAGACCGGTACAAGACCGCGTTCAAGACGCGGTACGGGCATTTTGAGTGGATTGTCATGCCCTTTGGCCTCACCAATGCCCCCGCAACTTTTCAAGCAGCAATGACGACTGAGTTTCGCGACTTGCTCGATCGCAGCGTCCTCATCTATCTTGATGACATTTTGGTTTATAGTAGGACGTTGGACGAGCACATCGTACACCTTTGCGTTGTTCTGAATCGTTTGCGACTAGCCAAGTACAAAGCGAATCTCGACAAGTGCGAATTCGCCAAGCAAGAGCTTGAGTACTTAGGTCATTTTGTCATGCCGAAAGACATTCGTCCCTTAGCGGACAAGATACAAGCCATCGTGGATTGGCCGGAACCCCGTTGCACGATGGATGTACGCTCTTTCATGGGTTTGGTTGGATATTATCAGCGATTCGTCGAGTCATACTCGAAAGTGGCCGCTCCTTTGTCGAGACTTCAGTCCCCGAAGGTGCCCTTCGAGTTCGACGACGCAGCCCGTGACGCGTTCACTATGTTGAAGGCAGCGATGCAAGCCGCACCTACCCTCCGTATATACGACCCCACCCTACCTACCCAAGTGACTACGGAGGCTTCGAGATACGGTATTGGTGCGGTGTTGGAACAGTGTCACGAGGACGGTTGGCATCCGGTTGAGTATTTCTCTCAAAAGGTGCCTCTCGTCAACACTCTCGACGACACTAGGAAGAAAGAGCTACTCGCGTTCGTCACTGTTCTCAAACGGTGGCGCCACTTTCTTCTCGGCCGTCGGCGTTTTAAATGGAATACGGACAACAATCTGTTGACCTTTTATAAAACGCTAGACACGGTCACTAGCACGATCGGTCAATGGATGTATTACATCGACCAGTTCGATTTTGACCAGTGCCACATTCCCGGTCCCCCCAATCGAGCAGCGGACGGCCTCTCACGACGACCCGACTTTTGTCCCATTGTGACGACGGCATTTGACCTCGATGACGATCTGCAGCCGCATTTCGTCAAAGGCTACAAGTCCGATCCGACTTACTCTAAGCTTTACGCGGAGCTTTCATCGGATCACCCGCCGGCTAGCCACTATCGGATTTCCGACGGGTTCCTTCTCCTTCACACGAAAGGAAAGGA